CTTTCCCTCTAGCTTCCTCACCCTCTATTTTGTGCTGTTCCAGGTTGAAACAGCAGAGAGAGAGAAAAAAATCTTTGGGTCAGCCAGTGGAATTATGTGAAAACTGAAACCTCAAGCCACATTATGAAGTCTGAAGTCCCACTCCACTGCACAGATAGCGGATGGATGGGTGTGTGAGAGAATAAAACCAAAGGGGGAGGAAAAACAGGCTGAAAAAAAGGAAGAAAAGAGAGAGAGTAAGAAAGATAAAGAAAAACATAATCTGTCTAATCTGCTTCCAATTAGTCATCCGAATCCTCGCCTCTAATTTGCTTGTTCCATGAAATTATGCTGACAAACAGGGAAAAATGTTTTTGAAGTCCCAGACAACGACTCTCAAACGCCTTCACAGCAAAAAGAAAAGGTGAAAAAGTTTTTTTTAGTTTCTAACCAGAATGTTATTTTCTTACGATCATTCCTCAGTTTGCTTCTTTTTCTTGTTTTTCTTTACATTCAGTACAACTTAAGGAGACTTGTTGTCTTTTGGTCCACATGTCCGGGTCTTGAGGACTGGACTTCTGCCTTTTGTGTGCATGAAACAGTTACAGCTAATGTGTTTATATACAGCACCACATAGTATTATACAATCATGAAAAAAAAAAATCTTTTTGTCAGTGTTTGTTAAAGGTGTTAGAGGTATCATCTGCATAGAGGTTTATCAAAGTCCCCATGACCTTATAGTAGCACCGCAGCGTCTGCAGAAATAACATTCAGCAGCAAATTCTAGCCACGGTCCTAATATTTAAAATTGTCTTTCGACATCCAGAAACAATATATTTGACTTTGGGGACAATTGTCTTCCCAGATTTAGCATTAGCAGTGCGCAACAAACCACCTTCACTGGTTAAGACCTAGCCTTATTAGTTAGCCTGCTCATCAAGGAATGTTCCAGATTGTTTAATAATAATTGTTTAATGCATATCATTCACATGATTGGTGGAGTTTTTTAAACTTCTCTGTACATTTTACAAGTTCTTTCTGCTTTGTTTAGGAGAAAAAATAGTTTAGGAAAAATCTTATATACATATCTTTTTTAAAACGTACATATTATTTTAGATATCTCACCTTTTTCTGAACTTAAAAAAACATTACTTTCTAAATGTATTAAGATATGTCTGTGTACTGTTCAATTACAACCACTAAAAAAACAGGTTTCAGTACCAACTGTTCTGGTCTATTTTTCTTCTCTCATATTAGGCTATTTTAGTTGTGACTGACTGCAAAAACAGCTTGGGGCCCATGTTATAATGGCAGACCTAAATGCACAAAGTGAGTCCATGTTAATGGAAACATAGAAACACACAGTCAATGCTGGCATTTCCCCTTTCTTCTGGTTGCACGCTGACCTCAGTTCTCAGTGGTTTTGGCTTGAGAAAAGCACCAGCTCCATTTCCAGTAAATGTCATTTCGTAGCTGCTGCATTTCCACAAGGCTGAGGAACAACATTGGATGTGTACAGGAGGACTGCAATTAGACAGCTTCTCCTGCAGACAGCGCGTCGACAAGGACAACATATGAAAACAGCTCTCAATGGACGAAGGAAATTTACATTTACATTTACGTGTATGCATTTATCCAGTGACTTACAAGAGGGGGTTTAACAATCAAGCTATATAGTCCAGTGTTTCCCAAATTTTTTCTTGGGACCCTTATTTTAAAAGTCACAAACCTTTGTGACCCAAGTCAATAGACATTATACGTAAACTCCTGGGAAACATGATGTGAGATGACCTCCCAAAAATCTCTTGCGACCCACCTGAGGGTCGTGACCCAGTCTTTGGGAAACAATGATATAGAGTACCAACGTTGTGGCCGGGGTCACCTGGTAGACCCCGTGGACTACCTAGGGTACCTGTGGGGTATATTTAAAAAACAAAACAAAACAAAAAAAAACTAGTCAACACAAGGGTGAAAAATTGTACTGTTACTGAGCTTTTTGAATCAGTTCCACTTAGAATGATATTAAAATGGGTTCAGTGACGATGATAGTGTCCAGTATTGTATGTCCCAGAACTTATTATTATGATTATTATTACACTGTTCCAGAAGTCTGTTTCAAACAAGTAGCTCTTCGTATTACTAAGTACCCTTGAAGTAGCTCTCCGTTTCGAAAAGGTTGGCGACCCCTGACATAGAGAACCTCTTAAGAAGGCGACTGCTATTTAGTAATGTGTGACTTCTTAAACCGGGCGGAGATAAGGGCAGAAGGAGAAAGGAGGTACAGGAGGTGCTCTCTGAATAGTTGGATTTTTTTTAAATACGCAGGGATGCCCCTGTTCTGGTGGTGCTGCGCAGCTCATTCGACCATCCATGAGAAGAGCCTAGCATCATACAGCAACAGCTGTAGTCAGTCCACGATAGAATTAATATTTTAAACTCTTTTTAGTGTAATTCAATTCCACTTTCTTTCTGCTTTGCATTGCAGAAAATTTTTGTCTTTTTCCACCTCACTCATAAATTTCTTTCTTCCTTCTCCTAGCGAGGACTCAAATGGCTACCAGATGTGATTCCAATCTGTTCCTGTTGCCCTGGAAACACAGAGACTGGAATAGGTTTTCAGAGTCCAGGGCTTTTGGCTGACTCATAGAAGCTGTGCTTTAAAGCCCTACAGTTTCTATAGAATTGGCACATGGAGCGTGCCTGCTCCGAGTTATGTTTAGACTGGCAGCCCAGATGTCACTGAACCCCCTTCCCACACTCCTCACTCCTGACTTTGACCAGGCCTTGAGTTTTACTGTATGGTCCTTTTGTGTTCGTCGGTTCCACAAAGCCGAAGCAAAATCACAGTTTTTACACGTCAAACTTCAACACTGGGTCAATGAACCACAAGGTCTGAACTCTGAGAAAATGACACAAGCGATATGTAAAGGCCAAAAGCTATAATCCCACACAGGCCCCTATTTAAACCAACACACAAAAAGCAGCAGGCACCGATATCCATCACAGGCAACGGTACAAGCAATCAATCAACAGTTTATTCCCGAAATGCGACGCAAGTCTGACACGCAATGCACATTTCCAAGCTGTGACTTTCCCACATGTCTGAGATGAAAAACAAGAGAGCATGTGTTGGTGTGCTCAGCTGAGGATCTTCTCCATCTGCAGCCCAAGGACGGGCAGATGGAGGCAGTTGTGTCAACATTCCTCTACATCCTGGCAACAAATCAAACCTCAAGCCATTGTCACATTCAAGATGGGATGATTCCGTGAAGAGTGTGTTGAGATCCAAATATGTGTACAGTTGCGAAAAGGGCAAATGGGTGTAAACCCAGATCAGGGTTTTGATCTATACAAATGTCTAACATGATGTTTGCAAATCAGTCTACGATCTCCTAGACACTGATTCTCGCATGAGCTTTGTGTGAAGAGGATTTATGAGCATTTCATGCTATTGTTGAGGTAGCCCTACTACACAATTCAGAAAAGTTCTACAGAATGTCCATTACAAATATTTACTTCATAACAAGTGCTGCGCAGAAGGAGCTTTTCTCCTTGGGGGGAAAACAGGGATGACGCTCTCAGTGGGAAAAGCAGTGACAGCCTCCGCAAACAACTCCTATAATTCTTGAGATTCCAAGTCTGCTATCACAAAAAACACAAGAGAAGATTTTAACATTACAATCTTTAAGGGAGAGACTTAAGTAAAGCCAAAACCAGCTTAATTGTCACTCATCATAGTTGTATGCACTGACTAATCACACATAGATCACCAGGACGAAAGAGTGAAATCCACAACAATGCGTCTCTATCTATTTTTCCCCTCAATTACCCAATGAAAATATACAGCCATTATTACACCAACCATTCATCCAACTTCAGCTCCTAATGGTCCAGTGAACATATCCATCTTCTTCCCACCAGAAAAGGGACACGTGCACGCAGGAATACATTTTCTCCTATGAAAGGAGCTCTTGTGGGTGTCGCATTCCACTGAGTCCTGAACAAACAAAATCAAAAGTCCCCAGGTTTCTTTAACGTCTTTCAAGAGCTGCCGTGGCTGGACAGCTCTGCTGGACTCCTGCCTGGCATCTGAGCTCAGCACCCTCGTGGCTAAAAACAATAAAGAGAACGTTAAGGTTGAAATGAAGCAGATAAATCACGCTCTACACCTAACTGTATCTGCTCTTACCTTTTGGCTTGAACTGACGTAACACTAGGAGAACAAGAGGTGAGAGAATAACCAATAGGAATGAACATGATGTCAATTAAATTTGGTGTCACATTTGACAGAAAAATACATGTATTGCTTTTTTATTCCAAAAATGAAAACTCAAGATGCCAAGATAAAATCACAAAAAAATTCCAAAATACCATACAGTTTGTTTTGTCATTTTTAAGGGCACTCAAAAAAAGAAATGCACTGAAAGCCTTTAACAATAGGCACGAGTCAGTCAGATAAAAGTGCTTGACACATCATACTGTAACTACTCAATGCTATCGTATTATGTACTGCATAGGTAAGGACTTGCACAGAGGTGTCAGAGTATTGTAGTAGTATTGTACAATCCTTTTGGGGTTTTTTTCTTATGTCATGCAAATGATAACATCTGAAGGAAACTGGTCAAGACGCATTTCCCTGCAGCCGTTAATGCCATGTAATTACACACTGTGTCATGAAGTAAATGTTTCAATACACATCAACAGATAATAATTACAAAGGCAGTGTAAACTTTACAGGGGCGTGGGGGGTGTACTCATACACCGGGTTTGCTACAGAGCCCAACGTATGGGGCAAACCGAAAGAAAAAGCAAGTACAACATGAAAGCCAGTTCATCATCAACAAAGAAACAGACCGAGAGTCATATAAGCACAGCTTACAAGGATAATAATAAGTACACAATGTATACATGTAGAAAAGTGTGTGTGTGTGGGGGGTGATGTGTACCTCGATGAAAACACAAAAAACGTTCAAATTAGTTGTAAATTTGGATTGAACTTGCATAGTCCATGCTAACAGCTAATGTAGCAAGTGCTAGCTCCGAAATAGCTTGGCATTTTAGTTTATCAAGACTAAAGAGAATAACATTTAGACAAACTCAGGAACCTAAACTAATCCACAGATGAGGGACCTGTCACGGGCCAAGACGCAGTACCATTTAGTCCTATTGATGGTCCATGATTAACATTGAGTTTCAAAGCACCATGGAACTGCAGCATTGATTTACTAGCTTACTGTAACAGGGCAGTTACTGTATTGGGATAATTAAAGATATTGAAGTTGACTGATGTTGAGCATATTTTATTACAATTGGTTTCCATGTGGAATGAACCACTTATAGAAGCTTGCTATGTTTTGATTGCATTTTAACAGACTGACCAAAATTTAAGTATTGGAAATAGACAAAGCCGTCTGGTTAGAAATATGAACTGTGTGAAAGTATTTATTTTACCATCCATGTGTTTTTTTGTTTTTTTTTTACTCTATAAATGATCGACATACAGTATTTCATGGAGATAAAAGTTGCAGTGTGTACAAACTGGAGCTAAATATCTGTTTAATGAAAATTATAATCCACACCTGACTATAATCCACAGTAAAACTGTAACATGAATCTTAACTACTCGGTATTCCGGTATCTATTGTATGTGTTGCCCTCATAATTAGGTCATGCTATTTTTTAAGTATTGGCTATTTTTTATGTTCTATCTGGATATTTCATGTGCATGTAATAAGCCCAGTTCAAACACATCATGGCAAAACCATAGTAAACAGTTTAGACAAATGATGTGTTTGAGAAATACTTCAAACTCTCTAAACACTAGAAGAAATACAAGCCACAACGTGGTATCATCTGCATAAGGCTTAGGCTTCATTCCCATGAAATACTGTAAACATGAAACAAATTTTCCTTCGTGAGGTCAGGTGAACACAGATGTTTTTATCTGACCCGACTAAATAGCACAAGGCTAAATAGGCTCAGTCTGTTTGCAGCAGAGAGGAAGTGCTGATTTGGCTGTAATTAAATACTTGTTTTTTACTTCAGTGATTTATTAGCATGACATTAATTGAGGACATGGGATACATCAGTTATAATTTTGGCTTAGTGGTTTTGATGAGCGAGTAAAACATACTGAAAAGAGCATATTCTAGTGATTTGGTGTCGGCAAAAGTATAAAGCTGAAGTTAAAATGGTCTTTCTGCACAACATCCAACAGCATGTTTAAAATGAGTGAGTTAAACTAAATAAATCAAAAATGGTTTGTACTTTATAGAGGATCCCTGAATGTAAGAGCTTAAGTAGTAAGGATGTAGCATAGCTTTGTAGTACGGACTATTTCCAATCTATTTAAACAGTGAAAGATTTTTGGTAAGATTTCTTTAAAAAGCCAAACAATCGTTAAGTCAAAAACAAGTAGGTTGACAATAGCAGATGGATTTATGAGGATGAGACACAACGGCGTTACTCGTAACTGGAAATGTTTAAAAAAGACTCTCATCTACACAGAATGAAAATGTTTTTAAATTGGTCAGTTGAAATTAGATTGAAAAAAAAAAATACCAATCCTTGTAGGATCAAAATCCTTTTTAGTACCTGTGGAGTATCTATTTTTCCAATACCAGCGAAGTAAAATCACGATTAAGAATCTTTAAAACAAATCCTCATATAAATATAGGTGTTGTCATTTTGTATAGCGATAAAAAATGAAGTATGAAAAAATGTCCACGTTCCACTGTTTTCACAGTTGTGTCCGGCTTAGCCACAGGTTGTGATGTGAGTTTGATACACAGTTATATATAAAAACAGATTCTTGAAGTAAAATACAATGGTGTATAGAGGTCATGAAAAGGCCCTAAAAAAAAAAAAAAAACTCTTTCTGTCTTCATTGGCCCTGAAGTCACAGCATAGTCTCGCCGGAAGGGGATTCCATTCTTTGTCATAAAGACGGTGCAGTCTACTTTCCAAGAAATCCAACTAAGCTGGGTTAAAACCCTTCAAAAATCTTTCCTATGTTTGGGTTTCATGAGCAATTATTTCACAACTTGTGGTGGCATGATGGCTGTTTTTTGCTGGGGTGTTTTACTGTCAGGGGTTTCCAAAGTCCCCTCCTTGCCCTTCTTCCTGGGCGGCTTTTTTATTGGAGTTTTCTTTGGCGTGTGATCCTGTGTTGGGTCCCCAAACTTCGAGCCGTTTAAGTCCTGCTTTTCCGGGCTCTTAGCTTCAGGGGGCCCTAGGTCGCTGCTGACAGGCATCACCATCTTATGGAGGCTGTTTGTGGTGGGCAACAGTGGCTTGATGGAAGCCTGCTGGTTTAATCCACTTGATGGGTTCCTCTTGGTTTTCTGTGGAGGTGTTGGCTTCTCTCTTGTCCCCTTGGGTGTAGAAAAGCCATTGGTCTTTGTTAAGCCTGTTCCTTCATTCCGGTTGATACTTTGGGTTTTCTCTTTAAGCTGAGCAGCTAGCAGCGTGGCAGCCTCAGAGTTCATATGTGGGTGCATTACCTTAGGGCTCTTGGGTGGCTCTTTAGGGTTCTCTTTTGGAATGTCATTTGAGCTTTTCTTCTCAGAAGAGGAACTATGAAAGCTACTGATCATCTTCAAGGCGTTCTGGACAACACCATTAATGTGCTCCATGTGACTGGGGCTGCTGTGCTCATCCCCAGACTTCTTACCTCGCAGAGGTTTATGTTTTCTGGGAGATTCATTGGCATCTGCCTCCTTCTCTTCCTGTTTCTTCTGTTGTTCACGATTCTTCTCCTTTATTTTCTGTCGCTCCTCACTCTTGGCTGAACAATCGCTCGAGCTCCTCTTTTTCTCCTTTGGCACTACCAGTGACTTTATGCCGCCCTGCCCCTGTTGCTCTGACTGCGGAGAACCTTGGGTGTTTCCATGTATCCATGAAATTTTAGGCTTGGTTGATGGATCAGGGGGCCTTGGTTTAGGCTTACCAGGTGAAGGCGGTGGTTTTCCATTGCGCTTAACCTCCACTGTAGGAGTTCCATCTCCATCCTTGCCACCACCATCGTCCTCTTTGGACTGCTTCGAGAGACGTGCTATGCGAGCATACAGAGCTGCGGTTGCGGACTCCGAGCCTGTGGTGGACCCTTCACTGTCAGAGGACTTGATCAGGGGTTGTTCACTGCCATCCACCTTTGTGACACTGGTGTCTTTCAGAGAGGTATACTCTCCTGCATCCTCATTGGTGGGGGCTTCTGGTTGGTCAGTTGCTGGACTGGGGCTGCGCTTCTCTTTGCTGTCATTCACAGATTCTGTAGATCATTGTAGATTGTCAAATATTAGTATCAGAAATGATATATAGAATATTACTTTCACTGTCATATTTTATCTTCAATAGAATAGGTCGGTTTGGCCCTAAAACATAGAGAATCTTTTTAGCTAATCACGGAGGAAATATCTTTAAATTAACTGAAGTTAAAAAACGAAATCTCGTTATATTTCCCAACAAAAGTAATTCAAAGACTGCACAGTCGGATTTAGTTCAACGAAAGCTGAACGAGAGGGTATTTCCCCCAAAAAACCTTAGAGAGTGAGTCAGGGGTTTGGAGTCAGCTGCTGAGTCGGCTGTTTCAGTTCCTGTTTATACTCTTAGTGTTCAGACTGATATAATACAGGGTAAACTCCCTCTGTAGTAATAACAATAAAGCGATGATGATGTCATCACATGACATTTTGTCTACCACCATAGTTGGTGTGGAACCGAGATCAATTACAGATTGTGGATCTTCTCTGATAACCGGACTGTTTATTTGTGTTTGCTGTGACTCACCTTCGTGGGGCAGACAGTAAACCGGTCCCTCGTCTCCGCTCTCAAAGGAAGAGAAGGACTCCTGGGACGACCAGGAGGAAGGGGAGGGCTGCTCGGCCACCGAGGGGGGCTCGATAAAGCTGCAGTTAAAGGTGTTCTCTGCGTCGTGGTGGGCTACTGAGAACAGAAACAAATGCCAAAGCCCAAAGGTCAGCTGCAGGGTATTGTACCATGTTACAACAACAACAGTCTGTCTGGACTCAAACTCACAACTGAAATAAGACTTTATGTTTAGTTCTACACAAATGGAATGGGTTTTATTTGGTCGACACTCAGGTGGAAAGACTGAGATGTGAAATGCAATCAAGATATTACATTACAATATAACAAGCTGATCTTAAACATATTGGACAGTTCTTCAGTCCATTACAGGACCATACTAACAAAAGCTCAGATATTGCTGGAGAGAAACTATAAACATGCTGGAGTAACGTAAGAAACTCCACCAAGAGAGACTGGTGATTGAACCACTAAACTTCTCACTGTTCTGTCACTGGTACGTTCTAAAGACAAAACACTAAGAGAACAATGGTAAGTCTACATGTAGTTGGAATCAGCAACACAAGAAAACATCATTGGTTACACACTGTCACACCAAGGAAATGACCATCACTTCAGAAATGGCAACTGATTTTAGCCAATGGCAAAAAAGTGTTTTGTTTTTTTTGTAAGGTCAAACTGAAAATACAAAACATCGATAGCCTGTGTTAAACTTTAGAAATGTCTTTCACGAAATAACACTCTTAGCTATTTATAATCCAATTTTTCTCTAACAGCATAATTCTGCTGACCCTTCAGTCTCGGGACAGCTGTGTTCTTTGGCGGATATGCTCCGTTTATCTCCACCCATCTGGTATGAACAGTTCTGGCCCTGATGTGACTGGGCGTCACCTCATACTGACCGACCACATCAGATGCTTCTGTGTGCCTGATGACACACAGTTCTATCCCTTTGTTTAGACCTCAGATAAACTTTCCAAGCCAGGAATCCTCTAAGTGTGGCACTGCCTTGGCCAGGAACAGATTTGAGCTCAACTGCTCTTGAGGACTAATACTGAAAAGATGTTGTGGAAACAATGTTGTTTTTGTTGTTTTTTTTTCTTTCTGTACCCTTCTATAACCTCTGTAAATTTTTTTTTTTTTTTTTTTTTTTTTTTTTTTGGTATTAATACACGTCTAATAATCAAGAACATCTGGATCTGAGAAATATGTCATCAGCAGATGACCAGTGGTTTTCTGGCAGATCTCAACAAAAAGTACAAGCTTTTTTTCTTTTTCTTTTTTTTTTTTAGGAGCCTCTTTTTTTTGGGGGGGGGGGGGGGTTGTGAACATGCTCAGTGAGTTGTTTTACAACACAGACAGGCTCACAGTCAAACCAGAAGTCTGTTATGAGGCCAGTGTTAAATGTTGCTTCACAGCCGTTTTCAATGACTTGACTTTTCACCCAGCATTGTTTGGTGGTTTACGCATAAGTTGGCCACTTGAACCATGTAACAACTAGGACTAATAGTAGTCCTAATACTAATTTTTACCAATTAAAAATTATTACTAATTATTTAGATAGCAAGATAGTGAAAGGCCTTAATGAAATTACATACAATGGAAACTTCTTCTTAATTTCTTAATTATTTTATTAGAAAGATGTTACTCTGGTAGGTGCAAAAGAGAAAATCTAAAAGAAGATCAGTAGATCGAAAAAGGGAGTACTTCTGGGTCAAGAGCAATATAAATGTTAAATATATATATATATATATATATATAGTAGTGACCCCATAGTGTAAGTATTACATTATATTGTGCTGTGCAGCTGCATACATTCATACTGATACATATATTGTATATTTAAAGTATATGTTATTTTATCTGAGTAAAAAAAAAAAAAATTAAACGTTTTCCAAAATAGCTGGGCCATTTTGATAGTAGCTCCTGAGCCAAAAAATATATAATCAAAAAAAATATGTATAAATAATATATTCTTAACACCCCTGGTTTAACCACAGCTAAATCACCACAACGTACTTAACTCAACTGTAAATTAGAAACTCTTTGTATAAATGTGGTCGATTCATTGTCACACACACAGTGTCCATCCATCCATCCATTTTCATCCGCTTATCCGTTACCGGGTCGCGGGGGCAGCAGTCGCCACCCAAATCACATTGCACCGTACCAAACCTTCCTGCGGGTGGTGAGTCCACTGGAAGGTACCAACCGCCCTAACCGGGATTCGAACTTGCCCAGGAGGTGAACCCTGGGGTTCCACACCAATGACAGAGACATTGCCTCTGGGCCAAAGCGCCACTACACACACAGTGTCAATATTAAAATTGTTGTCACGACATATTCTGCGGTTGTGTTTGGTTTGCTGCTCTACACAGTAATGTGGAGCTTCTGACCAACCTCAGGACATCACGTTGAGTTAGTCAACAAGCGAACACATGGGCATTTTGCAACATTGTTGCCATGAATGACTGCTGTCCTTGAAAGCTACTCCCACCAGTCTGTGGGTCTAGCACAGCAGATTGCCCTGCAGACAGAATGCCGCTGCGATTCCTCTGTACTGCACAACAGGGCATTATTGACGCAGCACAGCTGCAGAGGTCTGCCACCATAGTTGCTCGTGGGGGTGGGGCGGGGCAGCAAAGCACTTACAGACCAGGGGCAGAGGAAGTCTAGAGGTTAGAGAACTAAGCTGCAATGAGGAGGCTGTGTGCTGAAAGGTTGTGTCCAGCTGTGTAAATCTGGGCACTGAGTGGGGGGCACAAGCTGCCAATAAGAAGAAGAATAAACATGTTTTAGCCTGAAATAGTCCCTGACTCAGATTTTACACTGCACAACATGAACAACATGGAAATTAAGGGGTCACCAACTATATTTGTTTATATATTTATAGGTAGATAGATGTACTTTATTAAGCCCCGGCTGGGAAATTGCAGTTTGTTTGTTTTTTACATATATGTTTATATATATATTTATGTGTTTTTTAGGTTTTATTTGCGTTGTATCTATATTTCTATTATGTTTTATATGTAATGACTTATTTTATGTCTTAACAACTGTCAGTTGTGAGTCTGTTTTTGTTCTTTGCTCAAATGAAATGATGTGAAACCAGGCCTGTTATTGCAAACATATTTGTGGAGCCAGTAAAAAAAAAAAAAAAAAAAAAAAAAAAAAACAGACGAGAAAAGCAGGTGTTTTGAGGTCTTAGGGCTTGGACAGGGGCAAGAATTTGAATGTAGTGGATGTAAGAGATGTCTAACAGACGTACTGTCGGGTGTCAGTGTATGTCTCTATTCAAGCTGCTGGAAACAGAAACAGCTAAAAAGGCATCTTTCCTTGTCCTTTAATTCAGCCTGACCTTTTTTTTCTGCTATGCCACATCTGTTGCTGCTGACCCCTGTTTGGATAAATCACAGCTCTGACACAGGCAGGGGTAAATATGACCACTTCCTGTTTCCAGCCCCATTGGGCCTCCTGTGGAATGTATGTGTGCAGGAGTGAGAAGCTGCGGTCAGATTTGGACTTTCTAAACAAAACATGTTTTTTTTTTTTTTTTTTAGGGTAAACAACAAAACAAAGAAGGAAAAAATAAATATATAAATAACAGAAAAACAACAGAGGAGAGGAGGTCTTAAGGTGCTTTATTAAAAGAGTGCAAATTCAGATTCTTTTTTTTCATGTCTTGCAGTGCAAGTGTTAAATATATTTTTTTGTTGTTTTGTTTTTCTTTAAACCTCCTCTCTGATGCAAAGTACTGTGGCATAGCTTTTTTTCAATTATAAATTAGTTTTGCTCTGTAAACACGCTTAATGTCCCGCACATAAAATTAATTATATTATTATAACGACTGAGTTAAATATATAATTATATGAGCTTCAAATATTGCACATTTGTCTTTTAACTGCCCAAACTGTCACAAATGGGACAAAACAATTTACCAAAAAAATATTAAAGAAGTACTGATGGCCAAAATGAATATTTGTGGACTGGAAACTCAGTAACTACACCATGAAATGTGTGAAGAAGACTTAAAAAAAAAAAAAAAATCCAAATGTATATTTTCTCCATCTACTATGAAAAAACAACAGCGAGGTCACAGACAGATCTGTCACACACCACGAGTTCTCCACATGGAACAGCTCGACTGCAGCGTCCGACTAAACAGTGCTGCCTTTGATAGCTCGTCACTCGCCACCGAGCGGGGCCCCCACCCCCGACAACGACGACCCTTCTTTTTATAACACACACACAGAAACGACGATGGAAACGAGCAAAGAAAATGGAAGAAGAGAAAATAATCTCCAGTTTAGGGTTGTAATAATATGAACACATGGTGTCTGAGGGTGCCAAGAATAATAAGGGGCTTTAAAACCAGTGCATTCCTTTCAAATGAAACCCCACACTTGCCTGGCAGCCACCACACACTCTTTAACCATATTCACCATCCACACAGCCTGACTGACTGGGATGCTCGCTCTGATTGCCACTCATCTGCCCCAGCGTCTTGGCTGCAACAACCTGGAGACATCCCAGTTTAGCTTCTCATTTTCACTGACATCTCCACAGAGCTGTCATGGCGTCTGTAAGCTTCCAACCAAACCCCGGCTCTGAGCTGCAGCTCCACCAGACAGTGTTGCACAAGCGCAGGAGAAACAGATTACATAAAAGTAAAGCTGCTTCCGGCAGCACTGCGGTGGGACATGAGAAAGAATTCAGGGGCTTACCAACTACTTTTGGCAGTTTCTGTCGTCTCAGTGGAATACGGGGAAGTTTTGTGCTGATTCGGCTAAATCGTCCACACAGGATCCGCTTGGCTTTTTTGCTGTTGGTAGAGTTATCTTGGTTAGGACTGAAAAGGGATGATGCCATGGAAATCCAAATGAATCGTTCAGAGGGAGGCTCATTAACCCTGGTTCGCTGCCTCAGCAGTGGGCTCGCTAGCTGCCCATACGCTAGTCAAATGTCAATGTACTGAAAAATACAGTGTAGGTTTGCTCATTTAAAAACAAAATACATGTCGTATATCTTTTATATATTTACATACATATATACATACATATGTAAATACATACATATATAAATACATACATATATACATATATACATACATACATATATACATATGTACCTATATACATACATATATACATATATATATTGTCATTTACGTTTTTCAGTAAAGTTCAGTTGTTTTTTTCTTTAGCTTTCTAAAAAAAATGAGCCTCCATCATGGATCAGATTAGGGAAAAGAAGATTGACATCAGTTACTGACTTGTGGTCGTCCTTGTGTCGACACAGGCAGCAGCAGAACAACAGGGACAGCAGGACAATCAGTAAGAAGGAGACCAGGGTTCCAGCTGCAATCACTCCCATCCTCTGGTTAGGCTCTGAAAAACAGGGCGTTAAAACGGTATTGTTGTTTAAGATTTTGACATTGAAAAAAACCCCAAAACACAATGAAGTTTATCATATATATAACTTTAATAATAACATATATGTAGTAAATATAAAATTATTACATAAATTTAGACCGTGGACTGATGGAGAGCCTTGAAACCAGTGTTTCCCAAACTTTTTTTCTTGGAAACCCATTATTTATAAGTCACAAATCTTCAAAACCCTAGTCATTAGACATTATTTGTAAACTCCTGGGAAACGTGATAGAGGACGACCCCCCCCCAAAAAAAAAACCTTTTGCGACCAACCTGAGGGTCGCAGCCCTGTCTTTGGGAAACGATGCTCTAAACAACATTCACTGTACAACATTCAGGTGACTGAATGCCAGCAGGTGGCAGACTTTATGTAATTGTACTCATATGATGTTGGCTCAGACTGCAGGAAAGAGCTGTGACATGAGGCGTGTCTGAGGAAATGAGGCTTCAAGGACTAAAACCTACAGTACTCCAGGTACATAGTTATCAATCTCATCTCCCATACAGCACGCACCAAAAGCACTAAGACTTTCATTACTGATTTCCTGCAAGCAACTTCCTCCTTTCTCTGCCTCATTACTACACAGCCGTCACCATAGGGCCATGATTCATTAGCGGTTCTGCGGCTATAAGTGAGATACACGGCAGGTTGCACTACAAAAAATTGACTAGTGTCGCCAAGATACTGCAAAAGTCGCAGTTTAAAATACAGTTGTGCTGAAGATATTGACATTGAAATGTGCTAAATGTATGTGTTCCATGATTGGCTAAGAACACAGTGTGTTCTGATTGGCTTGACTCGAATAAAATCAGTAAAATCCAATGATATACATCCATCCATCCATCCATTTTCATCCACTTATCCATTACTGGGTCGCGGGGTCAGCAGTCGCCACGACCGCCACCCAAATCACATTGCACCGTCCCAACCTCCCTGAACCTTCCTGCGGGTGGTGAGTCCACTGGAAGGTACTAACTGCCCTAACCGGGATTCGAACTTGCCCAGGAGACAGAGACATTGCCTGTGGGCCAAAGCGCCACCCAATGATATACATTACGTTCAAAAGTCTTTTGAAAATCAGGCGAAATGATGATGAATGGCGCTGATGCCTGGTGCGTACAGTCCCATCAGACCCATGTGTACTGGACTGATGGACAGTTTGATTTATGACGTAATTGGACCTAAATTGACAAAGACGTGTGTTGACCTGCTTCTCATGTCCACTATATTCCTACAACCTCTACATCCTCCATAAATGACTGGTCTGCTTTTCCGGCCCTGCTGCCTTCAGTCATTGTGTTCCAACAAGGCTTTATTCCAATTTTTTTTCTTTTTTTTTCTACTGTCTTTTTCGTTTCCTGCTTTTTCTCCTTCTCTCTCAATCTTTTATCCATCAGAAAAAAAATCCATTTAACACAACCATTAAAAGTACAGTACTCTGGTCTGGGTCTGGAAACACTATCAAGGCCATTTTACTTTCCCACAACACGCACTGATGTGAAAATGAAAAAAAAAAAAAAAAAACTAAAACATTTGTTGGTACTAGTCACTGCCAATTATAGGTCTTTTTTAGTGCTTTGGACAAGCAGTGTAAGTGCAGTCTTGTTTTTAGGACAAACACTTTTAGATGGTTAAAACAATTACACAATGCCTCTGTAGGCCAGATCTGTTTGGACTTCAAAGAAAAAACAAACAAACACTAGTTTCTGTTTCTGTTCACTTCAAACCTTGAAAACATCAAGACCACAAAGCATGCGGTGGCTCTTCAGAAAAAAATATTGTCTTACGAAGATAGCAGGCTCCAGATACGGGATCACAGTCCTTGTCGTGGCAATGGCAGGTTTGATTGCAGTTCACTCCGTACTGGCCCGGCTGACAGGTCATGTTGCAGCTTAAACACGAAGGAGGTACAAAAACACAGTAGTTTAGTGTGAGTTCCAGTGACAGACTTTTGAAACTAAACCTATCCAAGGATCAACATTTTACTGCATAGTACAGTACATATAATGCATTACTAGTAAAAAAACAAGTAGATGCCTTTTGACCCTCATCACATACCAAAGTGTTGTCTTTTAAGTCTTGGGTTTTCAAGTTACTTACTAGGTGCCGTAGAACCCTGGGTCACACAGGCACTCTCCGGTGACCATGTGACAGATGCCGTTATAACAGTGGCTGCAGTTGTTTTCACAATTCTCGCCGTAAGTGCCGTTGGGGCAGCGAACCTCACACCTACGGCACGTACAAAGAATTTCACGATCTCAGCTTTTAACAAAAAACAGTATGTTTCACTCTGTAATAGCTACACAAAGAACAGGCCGTGGAAAGAACACTTTGAAGAGGTCAATGTAACTTTAGTTTAAGACATAGTTCTTAAACCCAATGATTAGCTATGTTATATATTTTTAGTGCCAAAGCCTTGAAACAGGGGTCACGAACTATACTTGTCAGAGATGCAGAATTTCTAGACAAACACATTAGGAGCTGGAAATAAAAATCAAATTTTGGGCTAAGATTATTATTTGATGGGCCGGATTTGGCTCACGAGCCACCATTTGTTAATCACCGCCTTAGATGGTCTTGAAGCACAGTCTAAGCCACGGCCACAGGACTGTCCGATCCGGCCCACGATTGGATTCAAAAACAAACATCTGTGTTTAATAATTATAAACAAAAATGTGATTTTTATTTCATTTTATCCAGAAATATTCCGGCCCTCCGACAAATATAGTTGTTGACCCCCGATTTAAACCGTCATAAAATAGTTCCTGATCCTAAATTTTTGTGTGGTCTGATCTCAGCAGAGATACCACAAGACAAGACAAGACAAGAATGTTCCTTCAGATTAGTACACATTCCTGGTTTTCTTCTGATAAATAGAGATGAAGAGCATCCACGCTCCAGAAACGTTACTTGCAGAGTTTGATTTTACAATTTTAGCAATATGTGTAGTATATATTGCTTCCGACAAGAGCATAAAGGCTCTGCAGTCCAGATCTGGTACCAATTTAAAAGGTCCGCACATGAACCAACTGACAATTCTCTGACATATTCATTTCTTACCTGTCCCCAATCCAGCCTGGGTTGCACTGTGAGCACTTCCCGTGAATGGGGTCGCAGTGGTGGCCATCCTTACAGGCGGGGCAAACTTCCTCACAGTCTTCGCCAAAAAAGCCCTTGGAGCAAAGCTGATCACAACGCGTCCCGTTCCAGCCTCGGTCGCAGGTTATGCATCTTCCCTCTGTGACTTTACAAGGCTGCTGTCCTTTACAGTGTCCACATCTGTGGTCAGGCGAACAAAACACAAACCAAGTGTTTCTCATTTGTCTCGTTTACACAAAGAAATTCCCGGTCCCTTATCTCGGTGTGGTGAAACAGTTTAACCTGATGAAAGACATGTGTATCTGAATGTTTTTCAATTGTTCATCTAATGGTCATTTAAACAGGGAGATAAACAACATTCTGTTCCATCTAGGTTTCAGATAAACTGCGTGGGAACGTTTTCCCAGACCATGAACGTTTTTGAGTGTTACACCAAGGACTGGTTTCACAGAAAAATCCTTTCTAGAGGCTGGTTAAATTTCTGCTTAGTAGTTGACGTGACAAGTACTTGTGGATTGAAGTAATCCATTAAATTACTTGAATAAAATAAGTTTTCAAGACTGCTTTTAACGTATATGAAGAAACTTGGGATGTTTGGCATCGGTTATCATAGTGGTTATCATGCCAGCCTTACACACAGAAAGCACCGGGTTTGAGCCCAGAGGAACCACGTACTCCATGGCGCCACCTGTGTGTGATGCAAAGACTTACACATACATATAGTGTCTGCTAAGCCCTGTCTATGAAACTGGCCTTCAACATTTTTTTAATGTTAGATGTTTTTTTAATGAACTAATCAAAAACCAACTCCGTATCGTGAACCCTCATTTTGGAAAGATTGCAAAAAAATCCTACTTGTTCCTGCAGTTCTGTCCGTAGAATCCAGCCGGACACGGTTCTCTGCAGAACTTCCCACGGTAGCCTGGAGTGCACTTACAAGAGCCATCAGCTTGGTTGCATTTGCCGTGTGAACACTGGCAGTACCGCTCGCACCGCTGCCCCCACCGCATCTCAGGACACTGGCAGCGTCCCGTGAACTGTTCACATGGCGAGTTGTTACAGTTACACTGCACAGCGCAGTTTCTCCCCATCCATCCAGACCGGCACTGGCAGCGGCCCGTCATGGGGTCGCAGACGGAGTTGACGCTGCAGTAGCACTTGTTGTTACACTGAGGACCCCAGACGCCGGGGTGACATGTGCATTTGCCTGTTTCTTGATCACACTGGCCTTTTTGGCACAGACATGCATTCTCACAGTTTGGTCCCCAGCGGTTGTGATTGCAGGTACACTGGCCGGTCAGGTCATCACACTGGCCATTAGGGTAACAAAGACATTTGCCTTTACAGTCGGGACCCCAGAACTGTCCGGGACACTCTGTTAAAGAGACAGTTGTAGTCAGGAAACAGAAAGAAATCCTTACACAAATCATTTAAATCAGTTTAAAACACTTGTATCCACAACTGGTGAAACTGCAGCAGTAGTTTGACCCAAGATTGAATCACAATAGTATCCATTCCCATGGTTTACAGAAGTGTTTCCCAAACTTTTTTTCTGGGGACCCATATTTTAAAAGTCACAAACCTTCGTGACTCAAGTCAATAGACATTATTTGCAAACTCCTAGGAAACATGATGTGAGACGACCCAAAAAAAATATCTTGTGACCCAACTGAGGGTTGCGACCCAGTCTTTGAGAAACAATGGTGTACAGCAATTAAATGTGGAAAAGCAGTATAAGCACATAAATCTAGACCTGGGGTCTTCAACCTGTGGCTCTGCAGCCCATTACTGTACACTGGCTCTCAACGTTAAACGTTTGTGAATTGACCAAAATTATTTTGAATGTGCTCTTTAGAATTAAAATACATCAATTGTATTAATCAGCTAGTCTTATTAAGTTAAACAACTAAAATCTTAAATCTGATTAATAAAACAGAAGCTTTGGATTCCTCTTGTAAGTTGAATAAAAGCATCTGCTAAACACATGAATGTAATCAATGCAAATAATGCAGCACTGCAGTAGAGACTGTAGAGACGTTGACTTCAGGTAAAAGTAATGAAAGAAATAGAGTGAATAATCTGTGACACTGACCACTTAATTATTCTGTGTTTGAATTGAAATAATAATGGGGGGGGGGGGGGGGGTTCTGTGGTGGTATAACAGGTTAGAAAATAACCAACAGCTTTGTCTTTACACATCTGTAATAACTAGTTGATCAATAACTGAAAAGTTTCTGTGGCTCCTAGTAAAGTTTAAATGGTGGTTGAAGTGATAAAAATAGCTCCGTTGGTGTTGAAGGAAACAGATCCCAGATTTGGACCCGCATACTGACAGAACAACAATGCCATGCTCCTGACATCAGCGAACACCATCAGCTTCAGTAAATATTGCTGTGCAACTGGTATTTAGGGCGGCAACCACAGCTTTGAACACCAAAGTAAAAAGAACACAAGATATAATTGTGGATTTAAAGTTAAAAAACAAATTCCTTACTGGTGTCACAGCTTGCTCCAAAGTACCCGTGACGGCAGCGGCATTCATTTGGCCTGACACACACCTCATTTTCCTTGCATGTGAAGTTGCCTTCACAGAGAGCTGGGGTGAACAAGAGCAGATCATGTTATTTAAACTGTTTGTCTTAAAGCGCTTCATGACATCGTTGGACTTGTGGAGGTGAACGTACGCGTCAGGCATTCGTCTCCTAGCTGGCTCCATCCACCGCAGCACGCCAGTCCCGGTGACCTGGAAGTGTAATTATGACATCCTAAATGAGAGGAGGTTGGAGGTGGGGGTAATGAAGCCCCAGAATAAAACACAGTCTAAAACAAACATCATCACAGCGGCAACTTCCACACCCAGCTCACCATCCCTTCATCTAAAAGTTCTCATTGATGTGGTGAAGGCCAAATAGTCCAGACGTGTGCAGAGAACCATGCATGACGCATGTGTCTAACACATGCTTGTATAATTTTCCACACAGGGGTTCATTTACATCTGACTCTAACTGGTAGCCCCCTACGGAGTCCTTCCTCTTAAAACTGCAATTCAGCCTTTTGCAAACGTTGCAGGAGGAAGTAAATATTCATAAAATAAATATTCAGCCTGAGTCCTGGCCTGTCAGACAAAGACAGGTGTATCTTCTCTTCCTCCAACCCCTGTGACCCCCGTTGGGGCCCCAGAAACATGTCATCATAACATACAGAGTCTGAAGAGCCAAGGTTACTTCCTGACATTTACTGTTGTACTGAGGTTTTTTTTTTTTTATTCCAATATATGCATGAGGTTGATTTCAGAAGGATTAACCACTGTGTGCTTTCACTTATCACGAGCCTCTGAATAATTCACTGACATTAAATGTTACTGTCACATTTGTGGATTAGCAGTGACCTGCCGTGTTCTGAGATACTTGAGAAGTGAGGAAAATGCTTAAGATCTAGTATTCTGGAGGTCTGTGCAATTCATGTGACAATGTTATAAATATACTTATATAAATAAATATGTATACACATATATGTATGCATATATAAATATATGTATACATACATGTGTAAATATATGCATACGTGTATAAATATATGTAGACATACATGTGTGACTATATACATACATACTGTATATAAATATACTGTATGTGTACATACATGTATACATATATGTATAAATATATGTATATACATATGTGTGAATGTAAGCATACATATATAAATATATGTATACATACATGAGTGCATATATGTATACATGTATGTATCCACATATGTATGCATATACATACATATAAATCTATATATCAATATACATACTTGCATATATACATACATACTGTATATAAATATACTGTATGTATACATACATGTGTACATATATGTATAAATATATGTATACACATATGTGTGAATATAAGCATACATATATAAATATATGTATACATACATGAGTGCATATATGTATAAATGTATGTATCCACATATGTATGCATATACATACCTATAAATATATATATATATATATATATCAATATACATACTTGCATATATACATACATGCTGTGTCTTATATATTTCAAGAAGCAAGATGTACACTTTAATTTAAACGGGTAAAACGTAAAAAAAGATGACGGTTATTTTTGTAAAAAAAAAAAATCTCTTTGAACCCCCCCATATATCCATTGTTGAAGCAAAGTAAAGACACATTTTTACCCCTTCTTGTCTACTGTACTTCTGCTGCTTCATATCTGACAAACACACTTGGACTCACAGGAGGCAATTGTGGACTTGGTTTTGTTGTTCTTGTTTACCAGTATTCCAACACCCACAGTGTCGGTCATATTCTTAGAGGTCATTCGTTAATTGTATTTCAAGTCATACTGTATGTGGGTTTTTTTTTGTTTTTTTTTTTTTGGAAATTTGTTACGACATGTAACCTCTGATCTATAAATATAGGAGCCATATAAATACAAAATAGAATCACAAAAGTTGTCATGAAATATAATTTCCATCCTCCAACTGCAACTCATTGACATCAAAACAAACCCAGTTTGTTTGGAGTTCACTCCCCTCTACATTTACACCGGGGTGTAATCGTACCCTAATCCAGAATGTGTACATTTATACTGCATGAAAAGCCCTTCGAATGCCTTCACAATCTCAGTGTCACCAAATGGTGCCACGAAAGCCCTTAAGGTCTACTAGCGCGCCCCCTACAGAGGGAAAAAATAGTGTTGTTCCAGATGTACACATCTGTGTGGCTGCTTTTTAATGGGCTCCTCCTCCTCCTCCTGTGTGCATGCTATACAAAGAACATATTATACAGAAAATAGGTCAAAGTAAAACACGTAACTAATATGTGTTGGTCGGAGTCGTACCGGACTAAGGCAAAAAGAAAGTAAAAAAGTCTGGTAAAAGTTTTTAGTGAGAACCGTTACTCGGCTTGCGTTCTGATGCTATGACGCCGTCTGTACAGGAACTATTTTGTCCTAAAACTAATTAAAGACAAAACGAACTAGGAAGATAATCGTCATACATTGGGTGCATTTTAAGTTATATCCTAAAGGTAAAAACAACAAAACAAGAACTTTTATCAGGACATGTTTACATTTGTCGTAGTTTGCAAACATATATATGTATCTTTATATTTTTACTGCTGTGTTCCTTACCCCGGTACTTTGCATACATTCCTGCCTTTGGGGTTGAGTTCTTGACTGAAAGTGGAGCAAAAAAAGAGACAAGTCACCGCAAAGAAAGCTAAAGAGTTCTTCACTTCCATTGTACAGGCGGCAGCATCCTTCTACACGCCGTTTTCACTCCACATCTTCTTCCTCCAAAAAGTTCTGAATTTGTAATCCAGATGTTGGTTTGTTTTTACTCTAAATTAACAGAGAATCCTCGCTTTTCCCCCCCGATAAAGTCTAGAAGTACAAATCCTCCGGCAGTGACTAAAAACAAATCCCATGCAACATAACAGTACTCTTCATCCGTGCTGCTCTCCTGCGCTGCGCCATTTATTCCCTCAGAAAGTTTCTAAACAGGAGACATGATGCAAAAGTTGGGTCCAAACTCATGATTCCCCCCCCCCAAATGCTAGCTCGTAATCCGGAAACAGAGGTTAATCCTGGCGTGAAAAGTTTTTGGGGAAAAAAGAAAATTCTAAAAGATGCAAATGAATGCCGCTTTTCAGCTCTGTTCTCCGAGGAGAACGCGTAAGTGTACGGCGTTGACTTGTGTGCTCTCTGCACTCTCAGGAGTGGCAGGAGGGAAATTCCTGATTTGTTACTCTATCTTTGGCTCCGTGCGCCATGTGTGCGCCACTCATTTGCATACGCATGTGCGCAACTGCAGCGGCCGCTTCACTCGTGCGGGTTATGATGTCGTAGTCCTAACTTTCGTTATTACTTTTTTTTTGTTGTTGTTGGGGCGGGGGTCTGGGGGGGTGGAGGGGTAAAACGATTATGGTATATTAATAATACCTTCATCTCAGAATTATTGTTTTAAAAAAAAAAAATCAAAATCATGATTTGGCAACATCAGTGATCTCACTCTGATCAAACTTCACGAATCCTGAATTAGATCAAGATGAAAATGGGGGGTTTAAGTGGCCGGTGGTGGAGAAGGTACAACTCCGTGCGAAGCAATGGCTCCCCCTTCTGTTGGAAAGGAAAATGTGACGCTGGGTTAGGACTAGAGATCAACAAAGACATGGTTTGTTTTCACTCTGGGATGTAGTGGAGTCTTTATGTTTAACACACTCAGCGATTTCCTCATGATCGAGTCACGTCACGTGGTGACGCAAAATAAAATAAAAATGTCACTATACACACAGACTTATACACTCTCTTAGTCTCTACGATATGCAGTGCAATATATTCTGTAATACTGTCATCTCTGTGTAAATATGGAGTGTGTTCACTATATCTGAATTAATGTGATTAATACGAATGACTACTCTAGTCCTCTCGAGTCATGTAATCCAACCCAGGTATTATATTATTTACATTATAGTTTATTACCTTATGTATAATATTTAGATGTATTACAATATTATTTCTTTATCTGTGTTTTCATTTCCCACCTATTCTGTTAAAAACAGTTTGATTCATAAGTGGCTGTAATAAAACTTTACGTTTGCAGAGCTGCTAATAAAAGACAAAGAAAAGAAACCGGTTTGGTATTTGGTATTTTGAAATATTTTTCAATATTTCTTTAACGCTTAACGGGAGTATGTAGTTCTCTAGTGTTTTGTGTCAACATTTAGCAAGTAACACCCCTTCCTGCCCTGAGGGTGGTGCTAGGCATGCATTAAAATCCGCCCGTCTACCTGGTTAGCCTTCCTGGTAACGCTTTGTTTTTTCTTATCACATAGTAGTTATAACATTTTATTAAATTTATGCCACCAAAGAAACGACTAGATATATTTGTGTTTCATCACATTTAAAAGCTTTTAGTGTATGACTTGGTCTTTGTGATTAACACGTGACAACTCAAAATAGCTGGTCTAAACAAGTCACTGGTTGGTGTCGTCACCGTCCAAACTACTTTCCTGTCTACATAATAAAATAAGACAAGCATTTATAAAAATGTTTCCGACGACGACTGCGCATGTCAGTACCTCAGTTTTGACTGGACACCGGCCGGCGGATGTGTGTACCTGTGCAGGGTGTAACCTAAGTTTGTTTCGTGCTATTACGTCACAAGAAATCCACCAACCACGTTGGTGCTCATTAACCGTCACTGTCCTGACTTGTTCACAACTTGGTGTTTTCCCGAGTGTTTTTAAAAGCAACACGGGCGTCCGATCTGTGGGATTTTAAAGTCAAAGTCGACCTCCTCTTCGTCCTCCGCCGTCTCCATCTCGTCATTGCTGATGTTTCCTATCCGAGCGGCTCCTAGTCTGGTGTGGCGAGGGGCAGACATTCCCCGTAAATTGATTCTGTCCAGCGGGAGGCTCGGCTTCAGCCCACTCCCTCGGTGCCGGGAACATGTCAGCAGCCGTGTCCGTGAAGCGGCACTGCTACTCAGAGCAGGACAGCCGGGGAAAGGAGGCAGGAACATCCACAGCTCCGCGGCTGCTAATGACATCTCTGTAAACTTTGACCTGACGCAGGAGGCCTATAGGAGCAAAGACTCGTTAGAACTGCTCAGAAGTCTGGTGGTTTTTAAACTCTGCTCCTATGACTTCATGGTTGATAACAATCAAGAGGTAAAATCAAAACAACAACAAAGTGTTGCCTTCCTGCCTCCAGACCAACTGGATAACAGACCGTCTATAAATAACGTATATACATATACGTGTGTATTTACGTGTAAACACACACATATATGCGCATATGTATATATACTGTAAATATATATGTATATATAATATACAGTATATACATACTCTATATGTATTCATATACAGTATATAGATATATCAGGAGCAAAAGACTGTTCTATCTGCATATATACATACATAGACATATCTCTAGACACAGTATATATTCTGTGTATGTATAGAGTATATTCATATTTAGTTTGTCAATGTACAACATAGATCTGTAGATATATCTTTAGGATTTTATCAATATCATTATATAATTTCACAATGACGTCCACATTCGTCAACGACATGTGACACACTGCATACAAACATCTGTTACCTAAATATATACTATATCTGAGTACTATTTTTTATTAAGGCTAATATTAAATATTTGCATATAGGCTGTGGCTTAGTGGTTAGACAAAGTGTTGCTCAGTTTGTTGTATCAAGAGAATGAGGACTGATAGGGAGCTGGGTAAATATATTTGTATGTATATATTTCCATATATTTATGTTTCATATTGCTGAGGGTTTTGCAACTACTGTTCACCCTCCTTCGTCTGGGATGTTGACTCTAACCAGTTTGAACAAACTGTTTGTGAGTCAGTCACATGTGAGCTCCCTACTCCCCTCTCAAATTACAGTCCTTGTTCCATGCATGGAATCTGTTCTGCTAACCTTCACATACAAGTTACGCAATACAGCCAGGGTCTTCAAAGTACACAGTCGCAGTATTATTTTATATAAGAAACACTCCCTTTTTTTCCAATTCAAGGTGCAGCAGAGTAAATGTCACAATGAAACTTTAGAAATTGTACCTGACTTGTAGGTCTGCATTCTTTCTGTGCTCGTTGTTAGCGCTAACTGAAGTATGAAGCTCTGTTGTTATTTACACGTTGTTGGTGTTGTTGTCCTACTTGTCCTACTTGTCCTCTTCTATCCAGATTATGGGCCTGGGTCAGAAGCTTCTGGGCCAGCGGGGCTTTAACCAGTTGATGAAGATGACATTTTACGGCCAGTTTGTGGCCGGTGAGGACCAGAGAGCGATCCGGCCGTTGATCCTAAAGAACCAGGCCTATGGCGTTGGCTCCATCCTTGACTACAGCGTTGAGGAAGACATTGGCCAGAAGCAGACAGACCCTGAAGAGACAAGCAAGTATGGAAGTCATACTGCAGTTCAACATGTATTACAATCACTACTATCTACATCAGGGGGGGTCAAACTGAAATTCATAAAATGAAAACCCTGGACGAAATCGCGGAAGTTGCCAAACTTAATTTTTATTAAAAAATTGACGGCAATTGTGCATGTTTTCCCTTCTCTCCAGATATGGAATTCTAAAAATCTAGAAAAACACAGAGCAGTAGTATTTGTTTTTTATTGTGTGTATTTATCTGTAGCATAAATCTGTAATGTAAATCATTTTTCACAGGCCAACAACAACAACAACCAAAAAAGTATGTGCTTTAACTTATGCACTTACACCACTAATACTACAAATCCTACCAGTATATAGGGCCCATATACTGGCTAGTACACATTTGATATGATCTCGCGGGTTAAATATAATTAGACTACGGGCCAGATTTGGCCCACGGGCCTCAGTTTGACATGTGTGATCTACATGTGCAGTATGTGGTTAAAGACATAAAGAAGGTGTCATTTTTTAACTAATAAAATTCAGATAATTTATCTAAATTCTGCAGGCCATATTGTCAAACATATGGCCAGCGGGCCAAAACCGGTCCACTAGGGTGTTCAATCTGGCCCGCTTGGTGAATTTGGAAAGTAAGAAAAATACACAAACACTTTGTGTTCAGGATATGTTTTTGTAAAATTATATTTTATTACATATGATTAAATAACAATAAGTACCTAATATACATGTACTTCTTTGCATGAAAACAAAGAGGAAAAACCTGGACTTATTGTTATACATAGTTAATTTTGTTATAAAAATCGATCCACTACTTATGTTGTATACGGCCCTTGAACCAAAATGAAATTTGACATCTCTGTTTTAGAGCATATTAAAAAGGATAACATTATTATTATTCTTCAAAACAACTATCAAGTGACCAACAGTTCGTTTGTACAGGATATTGTTCTCTTTAAAATTTGTCACACAGTGGTTTTGATTTCATCATAACTTGGGAGTTAACCCCAGTTTCAACAATGTTGGTCAGCGACTACAGAGAACTTCTCACTTAAAAGGAATCTTGTCACATGGGCAGTGTCTGACCAATGAGCTGATGCATCTCATATAACAGCACAAACCTGAAACACAGAGTCTGTAGTGAGATGACATTTGACCTCGGACTTTCAGGCATTGTCAGCAGAAGAGGGAACATAAAATTTAGAAATCCTAGACTGTTTTCAGAGTGAACTTTGAAATAATAATTGGACATTTTGCTCAAGTTTGAAACACAAGTGCATCTGCTTGGGTCTGGTTAATTTAGATAAGATAAGAATCGGGCTGAAGTCTGACTTTTAATGTCACGCAACGACCCCAAAGACACCCCCCTCCAAAAAAAAAAAATGTTCAGAACATTGCATTATTTTGTTTTGTATGTCAAATAACGTAGGGTGACAGGAGACAAGTATACCATTCTGTTATTACTTAGCGGGTACTGTGATCCAGGGGGCGCTAAAGCACAACAAGGGGACAAAAAAAGCTATATTTGAATTTTGAATGGGCTAATCCTGGACATTAATTTTTTTTGGTCATTATTTTGTTGTAAAAATGTTTAAACTCAGAAGCAAAGTAATCTGCTGTCTTGTTTTCGGACAGGAACAGAACTTTTGTAATGAATCGCCAGGTTTAGCCTCAGGCAGCTTCTGTGTCTTGTTACAACATGACTTTACTTTTCATGTTTACAAAGTCAAAGGCACGTCCGCCTCAAAAGCATCTCGTGAGAGATGCCACCGTTTCGCAACCTTCTACCTTTAGTTCAGGAGCACGGAGGACGAGATGCTCGGGCCAAGGCTGCAGGGTCTGACAGGTGCTGCACCGATCTGTCAAGATGGCAACAACGGCAACACAAATCTGCTCCGTGTAACAAGAGAACAATAACGGACAGGGCCAAGTCCTTCTGCGTTCCCCAGAACAGGATGCTAGTAATGAGAGCCTTTAGATTAACAGGCCATACAAAAACACGCAATTTATAGTTTGTTTACAGAACGTGGGGCATCTGTTCGAACGCGTGCATACGCAGGCTGTTATTAACAGGGACAGATTGTGCTTTTAGATCATTGTTTGATCGTCCAAAATGTTCACACTCACTTTCCTCTCATTGGCTGTTTGTGTCATGAGCAATAATGTTTTCATTTCTAATTTGGTTTTAATCTTTTGATGGTGTACAAACCATCACCAGTCTGTACCAGCAGATAAAATGTTGGAAATCCAAGATTATTTTGTGTCCCTGCATTGTTAAAGAGATGTGACATGATGGTGTTCAGGGTGACTAACCGGTGTATAGTTACATTGCTTCACAGCAAGTACCAATCAGCCACTCTAGTAAAACCAGTAACCTACTTTCCTGCAGTAGCAGCGCAGTGGGCAGCTGTTTACTTATACACAACAGCACCACCTTCTCACATGTTATCCACGTTTCAAAGTTGAATTTTTATTTGGCAAACCCAGGGATGATTCATCGATACTTTCCTTTGTCTCCTTGAATTCAGTGCGTGCAGCTGCACTGCAGAGGAGACGAGCGTAGGTAAGATGTCTTGTTGTGTTCTCATTTGTGCAGAGTATGATGTAATTAGAAGTAATAGCCCTGCAAATTTGTTCTTACCTTCAGGCAAAGACCAAGGACAGAACAAACATAAGGGGCATGAACAGTCTGGGGACGGCTGTGGAGGAGTGACTGAAGATTCCACCAATGAGACCAAATGTGACCAGCATATGGAGACCTTTATCAAATGCATAAAAGCGTCAGGTATGTAAAGAGGAGGTACTTTAAAGCAGCGGTGTCAAACAAATGGCCTGTGGGCCAAAATCGGTCCCTTCGGGGGTTCAATCTGGCCCACTTGATGAAATGACTTACAATCATGAATAATCGTAATTAATGAATAATCAACAACAACCCTGGTCATACCACCCTGAACACGTATGATCTCGACTGATCTCAGAAGCTAAGTAGGGTCAGACCTGGTCAGTACCTGGGTGGTGTGAGCTCTACATGGCTTGTTGGTCTGGGGTATGATTCTCACTTTGGGTACGAGAGGTCCCGGGTTCAAATCCCAGATGAGCCCTTTTTCTTTACACTCGTCCTTAGTATGGGGCGAGTATCCTCGCTTGCCATGTGGGAGACCGGGGTTCGATTCAATGGGGAGAAAGAAGAGAGCAGAGATTCCTGCGTTTGATACTATTCCAGGATTCCTGTATACAATGCACAGCTTTACGGCAATTTTATAGTTACTGATTGTATCTGGTTGACCTTCAGGTGGGGGTTCAATGGACAGTTTTTCTGCCATCAAAGCTACAGCTCTTGGACAACCTCAGTTCCTGGTACTGTATGTGTTTAAATGGAGTAAAGTGTCATGTGTCAGGATGTGGATTTGTTAGATACGCCGTCTTAAATCTAGTGTTGTTACTATTATGTTTTGTACTTTTTCTTTCAATTTAAAAGGTAAAACTATCAGAGGTCCTGGTGAAATGGCAACGTTTTTTCAACTTCCTGGCGTTACAGCTTGGAGGAGATGGCAAAGAAATCTCACAGCAGAAGCTGAACTTGAATGAACTACAGGTACGTGCATTTATTTATTTTTTTACACAAACTTTGAAGTATAATGTATAGCAGCTAATTTTTATATGCTAATGTCTAGGAACACTTGACCAAACTTGGTGCCAAAGGCGATTTTTATGGTTGGTTTTCTAAGAAGAATGGGCAAACATCAGGGTAAGAAATATCACCCGACAATGAGCAATCATGACAAAAAGGACGGAAATATTGATATGGAAATATACTGATTATGTACTATATGCTTTACATATACATTAATGTACACATACAGTATATACACATACTGTGTAAATATATAAATATATGTACAATGCACATATATACACACATATATTTACATATATTGATATATGTAAATGTATTTAAGTATATTAATATGCGTAAATATATAAATATATATTTACATATATTAATATATGTAAATATATGAATATATATGTGTGTACATTTGAGTGTAGAATCACTTTTTTGTCCTCAAACTCAACAGAACCATTGACCTGCTTGACTGGAACAGCTTGATAGATGACAGAGCACAGACGTCAGACCTCCTTGTTGTTCCGAATGTAAAGGTCAGTCCCACTTAAAAAACAAAAGGAAATAATTCCTGATATCATTTGATTACGGAATTAGAGATCACAGACCAAGTGTCAAAAGGTCATTATCCATTGCATAATAGTCGACAAGAGTGTGAGAGAAGTAGTCCACTGGATGTCAAGGAACCTCCAGTGTTAAAAACAAATCGATACACTCTGGGCAGACTTCCCTAAATGTGTCTGTAGACGTTAAACACTGCCACCTGAAGTTTGAATAAACTGAAGAAGCACTGAAAGGGTTTACAGCGTCTTATATTTACCTAATTATTCATCTGTCTTGTGCACTTTTGGGGTCATTTGCTCAGAAAGGTGTGCTGGAGCCACTGCTGGAGAGGTTTACCACAGAGGATGAGGAACAGATGAAGAGGATATTACAGCGTTTGGAAATATTAGCCAAGGTAAAAATAATAATATGTATATATATATATATACACACACACACATATATTTATATACGTATATATATATATTTATATATGTTTATATATATACACATATATGTATATTTATAGTATGTCTGTACCATTCATATATATAAATATAAATACATGAATATACACACACATACATATACATATATGAATATAAATTAATACAATTTGTTAAAACCTAGTATTGGCTCTGAACCTACATTTTCACTCACAGTAGAAAGTATTTGGAGGATATATGGAACGCACACGCCTAAATAACGTTGTTTTGAGCCTCTCATAATACCTCATATCTTCTTTTCCTTTCGGCTTTGTCCCTTTTCAGGGGTTGCCACAGTGAATCACTGATTTCCATCTCTCCCTGTTCTCTGTATCTTCTACTCTGACTCCAACTATCTCCATGTCCTCCCCCACTGCATCCATATATCTCCTCTTTGGCCTTCCTCTTTGTCTCCTACCTGGTAGCTCCATCTCTAACATTCTTCTACCGATGTATCCACTGTCCCTCCTCTGCACATGTCCAAACATTTATACCTCAGATATTCTAAGCATATTTTGGATACCACTAGCACTTGTACATTAGCCTGTAATAGAAATTAGAATTGCTCATCCGTACAAGTATGAAGACTTTTGCAAAACTTGAACAGTCTTTTAATGGTACTAGTTTTTTTAAATGCAAAGAACTACATAGAACAGTGGTTCTCAAACTTTTTCTTCTCTGTACCACCTGAGAAAACACTGATCTCTCTGAGTACCACCATGATGACCAACATTAGCATATAGCAGCATAGGCCTTCACTATCAGCTTCCACCACACAGGAGAGATGTTTAGAAATGTTTAGAAAGATGTTTGTGTTTAAATGTTGTACTAATTGTACATGGTATGTTTCAGATTTATTTAATTGAAAATGTGAATTTTCCCCCACTTACCTTTAGAGAGCGCTACCACAGTTTGAGAACCACTGAACATTTAGAACATTTAGTTCTGAGTAGAGAAAAGTCTCTCCATTTTGGAATGGAGCCCCTTTGTAAACACCACTAATGGTGACATCATAGGAATTAATGAGATCTTCCGTGTCCTAGCATGCCTTGGAGAACGGTGTTCGATTGATGGTGGATGCAGAACAGACGTACTTCCAGCCAGCCATCAGTAAACTGACGTTAGACATGCAGAGGATTTATAACCGAGAAAAAGCGGTCATTTTTAACACATACCAGTGCTACCTGAAGGTGAGTACTCACAGCTGACAAACAGCAGATGTCCCAGTTTGTCTGTGTTAACTATGCACACATGAATCCGACTGACGCATCAGATACAGGTCTTATGTAAAGACCATGTGTTGCTTTTAACTGAACGGTGATTGCATCACAAAAAACGTCAGCAACAGGCTGCAGTGTAACACGGTTCTGCTGCAAAAGTTAAAAATAATATTCAAACGCCAAACAAAATGACGCAGTAGAAAAAGAGAGGATATTTCTTGGTATTTACTGTTCTTGACGACGCCACACAGTCTGAGGCAAGAATGTTTTGTTTTTTTTTCCCTGAGAATCATTTTGGCAGATGCTCATTCCACTGTCAACACAATCTTATTTGAGTGACAGCTGAAGTACAACACAGACTCACTAATGGTTTTAGAGACTCCCTTGGACCAGGCCTGCAGACTGTTTCTTTATCTCTGCCTGGATGGTTATACTTATTGCTTACTGTTAGTGAGGTAGAGCAGTCGTGTTGACAGATGCTATATGACACCATCGTTGTTGTTGTTGTTGTTTTTCTTCACTACATTTACTCCTGTAATAGTCGGTATTACAACTGACTGAAGACAGTCACTGAGTAATGTGAGATCGAGGTCATATTCAAATGTTCAGGGGTTGATCTACAGCATTGTTTCCTAAAGATATTTATTTTGGGGTCGTCTCACATCATGTTCCCCAGGAGTTTATGAATAATGTCTATTGACTTGGGTCGCGAAAGTTTGTGACTTTGGGAAACACTGATCTACAGCGTAACCCTACTAGATCAGGTTATTGATAGGTAGATAAACCAGCCTAGAGCTGTCGCCGCAAAAATGAAGTATCGCGATATTAGGAAGCTTACGTGGTTCATGATGGGTCTCCGTCACCAGTGGCTCATTGAGGAACCTTTAGACGTGCAGGATGGAGGGGTGGTGCCAATGTGTCATCTGCTGCACGGCGTATGTAATTGGTTCCATAGTGTAGTGGTTAGCATCCCTGCCTAACAAGCAGAGAGTCTTGGGTTTGATTCCCAGAGGAACATCGTTCTTGGTGCCTCCATGGGACAGTCAGTTCTTGTGGGATCAAATATAAGTTCAAAAGATTATTATTATTACTATTATTTCCAGTAGCAAAAAACAACAAAAAAAGAAAATGCTTGAACACCCGTCGACGCCACAGACAACCACGTTTGCTCCAACTGTTGCCAAGAGAGTTCGAGTTTTGGGGACATTGATCGTCTCTGCTCCACTCAAAACACACACCCCTTTATGCATATCACGGTCAGATGCTGCTGCTGCAGATATTCCGCTAATGATAATCTCAGTACAACATTTAGTACTGTGTAAAGTCGGGTTCATTCACTTCTTTCTGCAGGAGGCCTACGACAACATAACTACAGATGTGGAAAAGTCGCGACGCGAGGGTTGGCATTTCGCCGCCAAGTTGGTGCGTGGGGCCTACATGCACCAGGAGAGAGAGAGGGCACAAGAAATGGGTTATGAAGACCCTATAAACCCTGATTACGAGTCCACTAATAGAATGTACCACAGGTAGGAGACAGATGCTCGGTAATTACTGCCAACGACCTTCAAATCTGTGTTCCATTTATCAATTACTGCAGTGCTTTTATATAACAGACGAGGTCATTAAGGAGAAGTTCTTCTTTTTTATATCAGTACAAAAGTAAACCGAGGCTCCATCAAAGACCTCTGAGGTCATTGGATTGGACTTCAATGTTGTTTAATGTTGTTAGAGTTTGGACGAAAAAGCACAGAATGAGTCGGCAATAAAGACGAGAAGAAAAAGAAAGTATTGGAATAATATCTCTATATAATATTGATTTTTAGGGGAAAAAAATAGTTTATCCATATATCCTGGTCAACTGACTTAAAGCTTTTTCTTTAAGGTCTTTCCTACCTGGCCCTTCAACAATAATAGTTGGTGTAGGTCAGTGGTTCTCATTCTTTTTCTACTCTGTACCATCTGAGAAAACATTGATCTCTCTGAGTACCACCGTGATGACCAACATTAGAATACAGCAGCATAGGCCTTCACTGTTAGCTTCCACCACAGGAGAGATGTTTAGAAATGTTTAGAAAGATGTTTATGTTTAAATGTAGTATTCATTGTACATGGTATGTTTCAGATTTATTCAATTGAAAATGTAAATGTGAATAGTAGAGGAAGGAAATGATCCGATAAATGCTCAAATAATGTGTTTATACCTAAAGCCGTTAGCTCAGATGGTGGGCGTCCACAGTTATCTACTGTATTAGTGTGACTGTGTGCAGACGGTCCTTCTTGAACTTAGTTGAATGTATCTGTGTTTATTTAAGGTGTCTGGACTACGTGCTTGATGAGATTGCACTTCGCAGAAACGCCAACGTAATGGTTGCTTCCCATAATGAAGACACAGTGAAATACACCATCAGGAGGTAACACTACTGTGTCGTCCAAGTCACCAAACACTGCTGAAAGCACTATTGATTTTTATATATATATATATATATATATATATATAGCCTGGGATTCATAATAAATCAGGATATAATTGTTTCTCTCTCATTCAGAATGAATGAGCTGGGTCTCTCCCCCACGGAGAACAAGGTGTACTTTGGTCAGCTGCTGGGCATGTGTGATCAGATCAGCTTCCCCTTGGGTGAGAACCATCCTTTGTGACACACAAACACGCAGTTTCCCCGTCAGCCGTCATTGTTGATGTCATTGTTATTCCGCCGCAGTCTGGCCTTGATGAACTGAAAGGCTTTTACTTTTCTGTATGGAACATCCTCTCGGTGAACACTGGCTCTGTCAGGCAGAGCTCTCAGCCAAGACAGAGGGACTGACAGCAGGTGTGCGACGGTTTGTGTCGTCTCAGCTTCTGGCCTTTATTTAGTTCTTGTATTTTTCAGCCCTCTTGGAAAACGATGCCCGTGTGTCCTTCAAATACTTGACGTAAAACAAATCACTTCATGGTCGCTGCCTGGAAATGTCATTGGATGTATGCAAAACATCTTGGACACAAACTACCCCCCCCCCCCCCCCAGAAAAAAAAAAGAGAGTCGGGATGTACCGTCACACCGTGAATTGGTTAAAAAAACAATACAAATTCACATTATGTGAAATAAAAAATTAATCGTGTATCAAGACGTAAGGAGAAGGCTGCGTAACTTCAGAAAGTCAGTGGTCATAACATGATACTATACACTCTTGTACAGTAGGTGGCGGTATGCGCCTAAAAACATCGGCTGTCAGCCGCTATTTAACTAACGTTTGTAGCGGTTCTTCAATAACTTCAAGAACTTGAACCACAGACACAAACAGTGTTTGACAACGTTTCTGTAACGAATTTTTTTTTCTTTCTGTTCTTCTGTTGTTTAATTTATTGATAGTTACCAAGGTTAATAAGACTAGAATTTTGTTTTTAATAACAGGAGTTCACTCTTTCTGAAAAAAAAATGCATTTTTTTATTTAAGTTCTTATAGAATCGTTGTATTTGGTCATAATTTTTCCATTTGAAAATATAAATAGTGCTAAAACTGTACTGTGAACAAAAAATGAATCGTTAATCATGTCGTGAGTTGAGTGTGTCGTTACATTCCAAGTAGAGTCAACTCTCCAATTCAGTGTTGTTGGTTTTTTTTTTTTGACGTTTTAGTCCAGACGCTCCTCCTGGGTCTCCTCCATGTTTCTCAGGCTCCTTGAACCTTTGTGTCACGCAGGTACACCACAGGCCATGTGGAGTGCATGTAGTGCAAACTGCGAGTCTGTTTGCAGCCCATGATGTGACATATGAACAGAGACACCTGTGTATTGACGAGCTGTCTCCACAAAGCCCGGCTGCCAGCTCTCACCACTTTGTTTGCTGTCAAAGACCCGAGTCGGCGGGGACAGACATTTATCTGTCAGTGTGAGTCTCAGGTTAAAACCAACTCCACATTGATGTAGACAGACACGGGGGCTTCTGTTCTTTTTCTCGAGGGACTCCTGCAGTCACAGTATTGTAATACTGTAATGATTTAGTTTTTAACTTCCATTTAATCGGAGTTGAAAGTTCTGACACTAATTGGGAAGTGGGTACTGAGTGAGGAAGGAGCTCGGACGAATTGTGAGGGCTAACAGACAACTCGAGTTCTAATATTCATGTAGCTATGGATTAATCACAATACATTGTGAATTAACTGTGTCTAAATCCGATTAACCGTGATAGTAATTAATGACAGATAATCACGATTCATTGAAACAATTCACCATTGTGTGATTTACACCTGATCTTATTTATGACTAATCCAAACAAATTCAATATTAATAATATGGAAAAATACCAGAATGACAGAAGCTCGATGAGCATTCGCACTGTCTATTAGGGATGTCCGATAATATCAGCAACTGATGTTAACATAGTTATGTAATATCCGTAAGTATCGTTATCATATGCAATACCTGGGTTTCGTCAAATGATTTGTGAACTGAAAGTAGTTTTGGGGAAAATTGGCTGTGGATGGGTCCCCAGAAAAAAAGTTTGGGAAACACTGGTTTACAGCACCTACAAAGTCAGGCTTTCAGGCTAACTGACACAGGCTGGTCTGATGAAAGCCTGACTTCCGACCTGAATATTAGACCCCACAGATCCTGCAGGTGGTTAACATGGTCTTTAAGCCTTGAGGCGCACTGGTGAAACAAAAACTTTTGTGTATCGACTGCATAAAATTAAAGATCAGCGTGTCGACTTAGAGCGCCACTGACTCTAACCAGCCGTTCAAAAGTGTTAAAATTTAAAATTTGATCAATTTTACAAGTTAACATGTTGATTTTGACAGCCCCCGGTTCAGGAGCTGAAACCTGGCCGATGAAAGGAGACACAGTGATGTCCTGTTATGTTGTGATCTAAGGCAGTTTTTTTTTCTTTTTCTTAGAGGAACTAAAAAAGATGCCTTTCACAGTACATGAGGTTATTGTTGTCAAAAAACTGTCAGTATCAAATATTAACAACACGAACAGCCTTTGGAGTTTCTGTTTTGATTTGTTTTCATGTGTGTGTTTCTTCCTCACTCCTGCTGTTTTACAAAGACTTTTCTCACATCCATCTGTCTGCAGGCCAGGCGGGCTTCCCCGTCTACAAGTATGTTCCATATGGGCCAGTGGGTGAGGTGATGCCTTACCTGTCTCGCAGAGCCCAGGAGAACAGAGGCATCATGAAAGGCGTCCAAAAGGAGAGGGAACTGCTGTGGAGGGAGCTAAAACGCAGACTCGCCTCCGGGGAGCTTCTCTACAGACCGGTTCACTGAAAAGGC